AGAGATTTTACTGGATAGGTATGAGGCAAGATGTGGATGAATGGTGCAGGACATGCAGTACATGTTGTGCTAAAATGGGACCCAAGCATGAGGGATGTGCTCCAATGAAGTTATATCAAGCTGGCGCACCAACGGAAAGATTAGCTGTTGACACTGCTGGTCCTTTGCCCCAAACTCGTGCTGGAAACAGGTACATTTGTGTGGTGATGGATTATTTCACCAAGTGGCCTGAGGCATATGCAATACCAAATCAGGAAGCTACAACTGTAGCTTCGGCTGTTAGTGATTTCTTCCTCAGATTTGATATGCCATATGAACTGCATTCAGATCAAGGCCATAACTTTAAATCAGCTGTGCTCCATGAATGCTGCAAGTTGTTTGCCATACGAAAGACCAGAACAACTGGACACTGGGACAGGAATTGGCAAAGTTTTGTAATAGCTGCCAAGATGACTGGGATGTCTTACTCCCTCCACTGTTGATGGCCTATAGGACAGCAGAGCATGAAACCACTGGATACACTCCAGCAAAGTTGATGTTTGGTTGGGAACTTCGGTTGCCAGTGGATCTGTTAACAGGATGCCCACCTTATGAAGAGTTGCCTGAAAGTGTGTCAGAATTCGTGAAAGTGTTATCGGAAAGAATGGATAATATTCACCATCAAATGCATTCAAACTTGAAAACGTCTGCTGATTCGATGAAGTTATCTTATGATAAGAGATCTACTGAAGTTAGCTTTGTACCAGGACACAATGTGTGGTTGTATAATCCCAGGAAGTCTCCTAAGTTGTCATCTCCATGGGAAGGCCCATATGACATAGTGGATCGTCTCTCAGACTTGACTTTCCGGATAAAATGTGGTCGGCAAGGTAAGCCAACGGTGGTGCATGCCAACAGGCTTTGGCATTATCATGGTCCAGGACATTTCAGTTGAAATAGAGTGAACAAAGGAACAAAAGATGCCGCTGAAGACGTGTCACCTGAAAAGGACACTGTTGAAGCCCTTCATGAAGTTACTACCACTGATGTGACTATTACTGATGATAGGACAATTTCTGATGGAGCAGATGAACCTCACGTGAAGCAGAAGCCAGTACGGAAGAAGATACGTCCCGTAAAATTAAGAGACTGTTGAATTTTAATTTTTGTGTTTGTAGTGTTTATAAATTCTGTACATTTAATTAAGTTATTGTTAGTTATCTATTGGTTTAAATTAAGTGGCTATTGTTCGGGATGAACAATACTAAGGAAAGGGCAGTGTTACGATAGCGGAAGTCACGTGATGCTGGTAACACATGATGAGTTTCTAGAAGATTCACGAAGAGATGAGATGTACACTTTTTGTATATATAAGACCGGTAAGAAGTGATGGGAACAATGGAATTGAATTGCAGACAGAGATAGAGATGGACAATTGAGTCAAGCACGGTAAAGTGCGTGAATCGTTCGTTGTAAATTATAGCATTTGTTTAAGTTAAACTGACTGTGGAAATTAAGTGTATTGCTGAAGTTTTTCGGAAAGAATTTCTATGGAAAATTAACCATAGACGTAACAATATATATATATATATATATATAAATATACACACACACACAGATGTAGTATGTATTTACTAATATTGTCTTTCAGGTTTAGGTGAACCTGATTTCATGTAATGTATATTCTTATATATGTTTACAACCTATAAAATCAGTACATAATTAACACAAATCTACTACGAATGTCAGAACAGTACTCCTAATGCATTAAATTCCAAGTAACTAAACTAAGATAGTTCATCAATATGTAAATTATATGTCACAGCACTACACCTTTCCTTAGTTTTCAGATTTAATTTAATAGTTTCTTAATAACACCCACAACAATGGAGAAATTAAATCACATGTTTCTAGCATCAAATTATATGTCAACTTTACAAATACAGAAATTAATTCATACCTCTTGCAGCTGCCCCAGACACCATAGGAACCCATACTGGCTGTTTTGGAGCTGTGAAATTGTGTACTAGATAATCACGAAGTTGGTCATACAAGGTGAAGTAAATCACAGTTGCAGGAACAGCCATAACTCTTTTAGGAAAAAAAAGAAAATAGGAATATATGTACTGTTAACACTAAAACACTGGATGTTTCTTAAACTCCGTAACATAAATATTGTAAAATATTCTGTACCTTATTACAGGTTGGAAACATGTATGCTGTATGAAAAAAATAAGATATTTATACTACACTCTACAGCATATTTCAACTTATTCAAAAAGTGAAGAAAAACACCTGTATTAATCTTAAAGAATAACATCATAATTACAATTTTTTACAGCTTATAAGTATCTTAACAGCCATCACCTTAAAATATGAGATTATCTAATTTTCCATATAAAAAAACAAACAAATACCAGACACGCAGCAATGGCACATGTATGAATGGAAAAAAAAACAATAAAAAGGGTTAATTTATGTTTTTGAAGAATTGTCCAATAACAGTTATAACCAAAAAAAAACAATTTTTCCACCTAAGGGAATTCATTTTTATTATGAAATGTTTAATAAGAATTCATAAAAGGAGAGAAATAATACATATTTATGTAGTTCTGCTTATACAACGTTTAAACATAATATAAAGATTTACAATGTAGTAAAAGTTTAAGTGAAAATGTAGTTAACTAGTGGGTTTAAAAATTAGTAAACATTTGTGTGAATAAATTAAAAATGCAAGATGATGAAAATGAAATTACAAAGTCTTTTCTTAGGCATGTGCCAAAACCAAATTTTTGCTGATTCATGCTTGGGCTGTTTGTTTAGTACGTGTACTTAAATCATTTCCACAAGAGGAATTTCCACCAATTGTTTACAAACTAATTTTTTACATTTGCAGTATATTTTTTAAATAAACAGAACATACACTTATGTATATGTTAGGAATATGTGAAGAGGATGTTATAGAGTAAACTAACGTGTATGAAAATGTACTAAACTGAGTTTTATTAAATGTAGTTTAACAAAAATACTCTAGAAAAAACACGATACTTTAAGAATTTCAAAACTTAGTAGAAACTCAAAAATAACAGTGATAACAAAAAAAAGGCTTAAACTGCAAGCAATTAAAAAAATTGATAAAAGAGGGAAAAAATTTCAACAAAGTTAAAAATAATTTGTGTTTATCTGTTGTAATGTACACTGTAAAATATGACAAATGTATAAATAAATATGGCACATGCAGAAGTACAACTACATCAGTTCTCTTAAATTTTTTATATACATGTAAGACTGAATAAATATTTCTATTAAACCTTTTTATGGATAATGTCTGACAAGTAAGTATGAATGATCATGTTTATCTTGTTGTCATCATAACTACTGGCATATTTCTGATTTAATTGTGCTTCAAATTTTTCATTTTACCTCGTTTTCTTTAGTTCACAACATAATTATGTCTTAATATGGCAATGCTTCATCTGTAGTACATAAGTAGACATTTCATTCTTTTACAAGATAGTTTCTTCAGTCACTTTATTGAATTTGTGTGTAAAAGTTAAAATGAAATCAATAAATAAAATGCAAGGTTAACTTTGTTGAAAATTAAAACATTTATTGAGGCCATCAACAGCCTCCTTTTAAAACTCACTTTCATGTTTCAACTGTACTTTTTTCATCCTCATAAGTAAAGCATATTTGTTATACATTTAGCCTAAAATTCAATTTCTTATGATAAATTAGCATATTAATAAAATCAAGTTAAGCTCAGGTCTACAATTACAGTGGTAACATACGTACACACACATATAATAAACTATTAGGCTGTTATTAAGGTATCATTCAAAAAAATACATAAAAGGTTCAACTTGTGCTAATGTATTTGGTTTAAATAATTTTGAAAAATACAACACTTATAGCAGCTACACTGCAGTCATTCATCAGTTGGATGCTCTCACTATTAATAGTTTATTTGGACATAACGCTAAGCAACAAATTTTCAATACAGAAACTAAATACAAAAAAGTAGAAGATATAACTTACAATGTAGGTGGAAGCCCACTCCATAAAGAACTTAATCCCTCTGTTCTAGTAATTTTGATAAATGCATCCTGATCAAAAGATTAAACAAAAATAAAAAAAATATTATTTTTTCAAGTTTCTTAAAATATTAAAATTACAGAAGTTTCATTATAACAGCAAAGGTTTTGTATTATAATATTTCACTATTATAGGTGATGTCCATATAAATGTAGATGAAAATACAAATTGCTTAAGATAATAATTTGATAAAAAAATATGTTTCTTCAAGATACTGATATTTGTAGGTAAAACACTGGCTGTCTCTTGAAAAACCACCAAAAAAGGACATGTACCTTAAAGACATCAGTGGACACCATAACAATGCATACAACTTAACAAATCAGAAGCAAACAGGTATGTACAAGAAACAGGGTTCATGTGGACTTTGCAAAAGAAAACTCCAGAACCAATAATCAGATTTCCAGAGCTCTCAAATCTTGCCATGGATTGAATTTGCATTTTTGTTCACAAAATGAGTTCACCAGCAAAAACTGCAACTGTCTCATGTTTCGAAAGATACGAGACTTACAATGACCAACATAAAATATAATAAAAGCTGATTTTTTGTTTTTCTATTTCTCCACAAAAAAAAAAAAGTGAATCATTTCATAAAGACATTTTTTTATTGAAACTGAAATGTCAGGACTTTTCCAGGACCAACATTTAAAAAAATCCATTTTATTTTAGGATTTCCAGTACCAAAAGTTTATAGCTATTTTCCATGACTTTCCAGAATTTCAATGTCCTGTAAAAACTTGAAGAAAACACGTACAAGTAACAGTCATGCTAGTTGTACTACTAACCACACATACAAAAATTGGAGAATACAAAATTGGACACTTATTTAATTGAGAGTAGCCCACAACAGAATACACTAAGTGGATTTTTTTAATCATTTTACTTAATCTTAGCTTGTAGTGAAGAAAATTCTATGAAGTTTCAGTAAGAAATATTTTTACTGTAACTATAGATTACTTCCAACATTGTTTACATTAGATGACAGTTAAGTAAGATTTCACATTACTTTGTGTCAGTGCTCAAGTTCCCCCTCCCTCCACAAAAAAAGTGCTGAAACACACTATAATTTCAAAAAGTTACAAATAAAATAAAAACACTTCAAAGTTAAAAAATTAAATAATAAGTTAATGCAAAAGAAACTAAAAATTTGAAAAATTTTTTCAAAAATTAGTGACATTGCAAAACTAAGGTTTCTGTTTGGAAGACATTTTTTCAGCATTCTATCTATTTTTATAATTGCAAACTAATCAGCTGATCATACTGTATTGCAAGTGTATGCTTCAAGGGTATAAATAATAATAACCAATACACTTCTATCGTAACAGAGTGAAAAAGGAGAAGCACGTGCAGTACAGTTTTACCATTTGCTTCACCAACAGTGTGTATTAGTTTATTTAAAATAATAAGATTGTCTATTTACCCCTTATACATTTGATGTTTATTGAGCCTAAAGGAAATGTAAATTGAGAAACATCTATGGAAAATGTTGAACATACACAATAAACTGACAAAAATACCCAATGTTTCATTTTGTTTTATGTTCAGGCAGTGCAAGTTTTCTGTTGCAACATCCAGAATGAGTCAATACTATTGACAGTGATATTCTTTGATACATATTCACGTGTGTAGTCAAGTTTGAACATAGTTTGCTCTAAAAAAAAAAGATTGTATTTATTGTCAGAGGTTTTAAAAAGTGCTGGAATGCCATTCATGTGTGTTTCACTATGACTCAAACACTGGTTTGTGTATATAATAGACAAAATTTAATCTATGTGCATGTGTTTGTGTATGCTACAACATTATTTAATTATTCTTACTTAGTTACACATTAAAAAATAATTAAGATTTACATGTATGATACACCACATTTAATAAAACACCAAAAAAATCAATTACCAAAGTTCCAGTAAAATGACCAGGTCTTCTATACCAGTGTGGTGAAGTTACCGGCCCATTTCCATTGGAATTCCCATTTCCATTTAAACAAAAACACAAGTGTTCCATCAAACCATTGCAATAGAGGAAACATTTATTCCGTATGAATTCCTTTTGCTGAGCTTGGAGCCGAATTTTCACAACATCAAGAGGAGTAACTAAAATAAAGTTGAAAATTAATACCATTCCCAAAGTTCCATTTGTTTTGTAATCTCACATATAAAATAAAACAAAGATATGATTAATTACATATTTCAACACTTCTTTTGTAGGTGTGAAATAAAGAGAACATAAATTAACTTTTTTTTATTATTTTCACACCATAAGATATTTCTTGATATGCAGAACATTTGTACATATAAAAGTACTGAACATGTATGTTATTATCTAATGTATCCAATAGATATTCCTTCATAAAGAAGATGTTTTAGTTAAATTCCATTTTTGCCACGTATTAAGCAATTTAAATCCAGGAACAAATATACTTATCACCGCAGTTCTTAACATAACTTTCTTTCACAGCATTTTGGACAATATGACATTAGTGCACACGTCATTGTGTGTAACTCTATGCCTCTCATTCATTATTTATCTGATCGTGAAAGAATGCAACTTGTAAAATCTGAACAAGCAACCAAATCCAAGAAGTACAATACTTTATCACAATAACAATTCTAGTTTTGTACAAAATGGGAAAAATTATGATGTTACTTGGAATGTTATTATCAGTTAAATCAAGATAACTGAAAAGAAATGACTTCCTTTCAAAATCTGGTGTTTCAACCAAAAGTCCTCCCTTAAACATATAAAAGGAATTATTTAATATATGAAAAATACCAAGCTTACAAAAAAATACTAAATTTACTGGTCAAATGAGTGATGCCAGGGTTTATCAAACTAAAACAAAGACACAATTACTGCAGATACATGTACGAAGGATTATGAAGCTCTTTGCTGACAATATTAAATTTGATTTTATGGGATTTTATATTCACATTAACCACTACACATTACTCAGATAGTCAAAGATAATACTCTCTTTCAGATTCCTAAAAGAACCTGAAAATGAAAGAAAGTGATAAAGTCAAACATTAAACAGCTTTCTTACCAATATCTTTAGCACTGAATAAGAGTTTCCCAAAATGATCAATATCTTTAAAATTCAGAAGGATTGTACCTTCTCTTTTTGGTATTTCCGGTGAATAAAACTGTATTAGGAAAGCTCAGAAAATATGAGTTATATTTTGAGTAAAAATCTCAAATCAGATGAGATGTATATTAAAACACTGAAAATGCTTAATAAAGAGCTAGTGAGGATTTAGCTTTTCTTTTTCAGTAGTCTTTTGACTAGGGGAAATTTCAGGTGATTGGAAAATTACTAAAATGAATTTAATTCTTAAAAATAATGAACTAAAAGAAAAATAGGAGTAAATTATAAGGCTGGATAACGTTTTAGAAAATAAAAGTTTTTAGACGGCTTGACCAGGTAACGACAAAACTTTATTACAAAATGTCGAAACGTCGTACATCTATAATAAAGTTTTTGCATTACCTAGTCAAGCCATGTCAAAACTTTTAAATTATATGGCTTTTATCATGGTCTTTGAATATATTTTGAGAAATAATTTAGAAAAGCCTTTGAAAATCTACCATTAATTTACGATTCTTAGCTTGGTTTCAGGAAATGTTTCTTTGAAGGACTTCTGCTTGTTTTGGAAGAGGGCATTTTAGCTGATATCTTGACTAGAGCTAAGCAATTTAATCAATTAATTATGAATAGTGATTACATCAATTAGTATCATGTAAACTAATAGATTAAATCTAAATCAGTGTTTCTGATTATTACTGTTTTGATTTTTCCAACAATTGGTTAAACTAAATTATAATTAAATTTATTGTCATGAAAATAATCAACTTACTGAGTGTTTTTGATTAGTTCTATTTTTGATCATTCCAATTATCCAAGTAATCAAGATACTTCCACCAAGCTTGCTCACTTATCTTTGTTACAGCAAAGCTACTAAGGTTATATGTCACTGTCACTAATTGAGCTATTGGCTGAAGAAAGGGTAACCACCTGGCAACCAACACCCACCACCAACCCTTTTTTGTTTGTATGTACCATGATTTAAGGAAAACTGTACTAATCAATTAATTAATTAATTAAGAAAACATTTGATTAAGTGCTCTACAAGGTATTTTTCTAACAAGTTGGATGTGTATGGAACTGGTGATAAAGCTGAGAAGTGGATAAAAAATTGGCTTACTGTTTGGTAAAAAAGCAGTGTTGATAGAAAGGCATCTTTTCCAACTGACAACATGTAATATTGTTGACCCTCAGGGTTCTGTTTTGGTGCTTTTGTTGTTCATTATTTATACTAGCAATTTAGTTAGCTTCTTGGATATCTTCAAATTAACTGATGATAAACATGTTGAGTAGAGCTAATTCAAATGAAACTGCTTCTCTTCTTTAAAAGGATCTTGTCTAGAAATGAAATATGATTTCATACATTAAGAAATTTAGTACGATAATTGGGAAAAAGAAAACTTCCTTTTTATGCAAGATGTTCAACGGTGTTGTAGAAAAATAAAGATAGATACAAGTGTTAAGGTGTGCAAAGATCAAGAAGAATTCAGAGATCCATCTAAAGGCCAACAAGGTTATTGCCTTCATGTACAAGATTGACAAGGTTTTAGTTTTGATCCCATTACTACAGGAAAGTACCAATATGCTGAAATAGTGTGTGGAAGAATTAGTAAAGTAAGTTAATTTTCAAACTTTTGAGAGGTTTGAACAATTGCACTTTTTCACAAGATCAAAAGTGATAAGATTCAGTTTATAGATTTTTAAAACAAAAAATAATGACAGTACTTGAAGCTAATAGCTTGTGTTCTGTAAACTATTATTTCTTTATTGTTACTTTTGTCAACAGTATTGGTTAGAATATTACATAATGTACACAATAGTGCAAACAAAAGTTTAAAAGATTTCTTAAATAAAGAAAGACAGATTATACACAGGAGCCTTCTGCTCTTATTGTCTTGAAACCAAAACTAAAAATAGGTCTCACTGAGGCTATTTGGAAATTGAATTTCTGGAATAAGTTGTCCATCCATAAATAATTTAAAACAATACTTGTGTAATATATATATATATATATATATATATATACACACACACACACAACAACTAAAAGGAATACAACATTAAAATCATTACACAATAAATAGTTATTAAAACAGGGACTTGCCCTAAAAAAAGACTGTTTCAATGTTCCATGAAATAGGTGTTATAGAACACTAAAACAGATGTAAAGTATTTTTAGGGCAAGTCCATGTTTTAATCCTTTTAATTGTATACATATATTGATAGATTGTCCAGCCATGTTGTTGATGTCAAATCTCTGGGTTCCTTCAATAAACAGCTTAATGAGATTCTTGGATCAACAACCATGTGATCAAGATGGGCCAAATGGCTTCCACTCATTCCTGCAGTCTTAATCCAGTCCATAATTGAGGTTACTGTCAGCATTCTGGACTTTACTGACCTGGCTGATAACTCCTCAGCACTTAGTGAAAGGTAGCCCTGTTTATTTGTTACTTTTTTTCTCAGACTTTTTACTTGCAGCGGTATATTGCAAAGTAACAGTGAACTCCACTGTAGAGATATTTTTATCTTGCATGTTTTTGTCACTATATTTCTGGACTTCAACACTGAATTCAGCACAACAGCTGTGTCTTAGAAGGGTTTTTTGCTGACTTTCATCAATTTTCTGGTTGTTTGGAATCTTTCTTTGCTCTTCCTCAGCCAAGCTTTCTTGACTGGACTTGTAAGCACTTGTATCTCAACTCATGGAAGGTTTTGGTTACTTACCTGTGCTGAAAATAACTTGACACACTATTCCTCTTTAGTATGGTGATTACAAAACACCCCTTTGCCATTGTTCCATAATCCAGACAGCAGTTACAAACAATACAAAAACATTGTCCAGAATCAAGAGTTCTTCATACCCACGGTCTATTTAAAGAATATCTTTCTTCACACCATTTATTTTTCAAGAAAACTGGAATGACAAAATGTCCATCACACAGCCATGCAATCAACAATAATGTGGGTATAAAACAGAGCAATAAATAAAAATTAAGAGAAACTGCCTGCCACCTTGTGGTACATTATAAAACTACAAAAAAGTGCTTTATGTAACATATGTATAGTAATACAACAAACATATCTCTTAATTTTTCATGATTTCCCCAAAATTCTTAAAATAGAAAAAATATTTATAGATGGCAACTGATGAAACAATGCATTCTAATCATTATATAAAGAAGGTAAGAAAAAAGTATATTTAATTAGATATACTTAATACCAGATTGATTTTCAGTTTTTCTATACATAGATAGCTTGCTCTAAACAGAAGTTTATGTATATTACATGAAATAATTACTTAAAATCTTTAAAAAATTACAATTAGTAACCCAGACTTGTTCTTATGTAAAACTATTTCTCTGGCTAGTTTTTTTCTTTTTAGTTGTAGATTATATAACCTGATGAAATAATAAGTACCAATACTCCGAGTTTTATAATTTTCTATTGAGGAGGTATTTAGATGTGCAAGATTAAATTTGTCTTGGTTGTTTCTTTCTTGTTTCTTTGAGATTTTGGATAACCTTGATAGACTGCACAGTATTTTACCAATTTGCTCTTGTGATATGATATTCCACTAATCTATCCAGGCTGAATAAATATGTGTAGTCCAGAAATAAGGTTAAAGTTTGTAAAATGCAAGGTAACACAACCTTTACTATTTACCACATTTGTGGTGTAGCCAAAATCTTGTCATCATTACACATAAGGACAGTGATAAAGATTAAGCTGTTGCAAGTGGGATTTTCAAGTATTAACATGTGTTACATTTGTAAATTATCAGAATGTTAAATAATCAACAGTACTTGGTCTGTTTTTTGTTATTGTATGTATTCTCAGTTTTTCTATCATTTCACCACAATGGTATTTACTTGTCTGACAAACCTTTATCTTATCCCATTTGATACTTGGAAATGGCTTCTTCATATTCAATATCATGATTCAAATATATAAATTTCAGTTTTAATAGTAACTTAAATTGTTACAGCAACACTGATCATAATTATACATCAATACTGTAACATAGTATTTTGTTAATAATCTTTGCAATGAAAGACTTGATGTGGCAACAAACATGAATGTGATAATGTTCATACACTATGGTCATGTAAATATAACTAATTTTAGAACACACATTAAGTGGCAATTTTTTTATGTATTACATATGTAAATATGCAAAATACAGTAGACTACACTGACTAATTGATCTATTTGTATAAGTTTAGTCACTATTTGTTTTGTAATGTAGAGTGTATTTTATGACCAGCTAACTTAAAATTTCAAAAATATACTCTACTTAGAAACATTTATCCAAATGCATAATTTAAATAAGCAACTCTCAAATCATTAATATACGTTAATTACATGCAAGTATAGAACAAAACATGAATAATTAGTAGTAGTATTACATATTCCAAAGTATTTTTTTAAATTTTAGTTATTGAAACTGCAAATGCAGTGTCACAATTCTGTAAAATAATGCAGTGTTTTGAATATTCCAATTTCTAGAAATATAGTTTTTCACATGACGATAATTTTACATTTCTTAAATATGGCTAATTTATTATAATAATTTTCAAGTTACTCATAACAGAATATTAAAAAGCATATGCTAACAAATCTAAAGTAGAAGTTACCAAACAAAGACGTTATAACTGCTCCCGAGCATGATGATATCATCCGTTGCAATGGAGTTAGGCCGTTGTTGGGGTTAGTAATAGTAGTACCATCATCATTAGTATCACGACGATCAACTCGATTTTCCGAATTCATTGCTATCTTAAACGTTTTAGTTAAAGAGAACCTCAGACTCTGTATTATTCTGGAAGTTGAAACTATGGAACCTAAAATTGTAAAAACTTAATAATATTAATACAACTAAAAAGGACTGAAATTGCATTTGATTTTGATGCTCGATGAGTAGATCACTAATTCACACGCAACTCAAACTTTTGACATTTAATTCGATAATTGTTACAGCTGATTTATTATTTATATTAATTTCTCTTTAAACTTTGATTAAAAACTAGCATAATTGAATATTTTTCAATCTATATTTAGGGACGTGGACAAAACTAAAACTCACGTGGTCATTGTACAATACCCTTAAACATTCAATTATTACGTAAATTAACATTTCATCATACACACTTCCTTCAGAAGTTTGGAAGAGGGCGTTAAAATAAATATATGTATTCGTTATTGAACATCCAAACATTTTCATACTGTAAGAATTTATAGAATATTCCAGTTCTAAAATACAAATAAGTAAGAATGAAGCGTAACTACATGAAGTAATAAGAAATAAAATAATGTGAAGACTATCCCAAAAACCTCACAATCAACTAATAATAATATCAGATCTTCACATTAATTAAATCTCTTGCTTCCTAGTGAGTCAGCGGTAAGATTAAGGACTTATAACGCAAATATTCAGGGTTCAATTCGGGTTATTCGACTATCAGGATAGATCGCACAGATAACAGAGATCCAAATAAGGGTGTGCACCTAATCTATGGATCGAATCTGACCATAACTAACGTCAATTACACAAATACAAACGAGCGCATAGTAACTGATGTAAACTTTACAAACAACACAGTCGTAACAGTGGTTAGTGTCGACTGTAGTGGTAGAGGATCTCAATAGCAAACACAAATATTTTGGATGGAACAGTACTACCGCAAATGGTTATAAACTAATCAACTTATAAATAGTAGCAATACTGTACTAATAAATAATTATACGCCTAAATACTGTTGTACGGCAACAAATACATGTGATATACTAGATTTGTGTATAACATCGAATGAACTAAGCCTAAAGTGTGTAGAATTTCATGTAGGACAAGATTTATATAGTGATCATTTCCCAATATGGAGCATCTTCGATCTACCCCCCCCCCCACCAAAATTATAGCTATAATAAAGCTGATTAGCTTAAATACAAAACGATTGTAGATTGACTATTACCAACTTCAATTAAAACAAGTGCTTCGAGACCTTCCAAAATAGTCAAATAATAACTGAATGCATAACCAAACCCGCAAACATTGCAATACCAAAACACGAACAAACACATGGAAACCACATACAAACATAACAGGTGTGATAATAGAGAGATACAAACTACGAATATTATATATTAACACAAGAGATATAAACTTAAAACCACAAATCAACGCACTCACAAACAAAATAAGAAATGAAATCAAACACTTAAAACAAGAAAGCTGGTACTCATTTTGTTGCAAACTAAATGAACAGGTCGACCCCAAATATTTCTGGAAACACTTAAAAAGATACATAGAAAAACACAAATCGTCAAAACCTACTGTTACGTCTCTGGTCGTTTGTTAATTTCCCGTAAAAATTCTTTCCGAAGAACTTCAGCGATACAAGTCCTTTCTTAAATAAAACTAGTTTATTCTTTCTCAATAC